TATGTCCTAACATCCACCATATGTCTGCATGATCAGACACAGAGACCGAGTAGCACTGTGTCAGCATTATGACTGACTAAAGGCTATGAGGGGCATTTTCTCTGCTCCAACAAGCTTAAAAAGGCCATCACAGAGCCTCCCCCGCCGCCGCCACCAAGACTATTCCAGCTGTTTGGCAGTGAAAGAATTGCATTGAGAGATTGTCATCACACATACATTTTGACACTGCTTTGAGGAGACAGTGAGACAATACCAACAGCTGTGCTTCTGGGCATGTGTGCAGCCCACAACCCTGTAACAGAAGTCTGCATCGCTTTACAAACAGCCGCATGCTGTGGATCCAGAGCATTCACACAGCGGCAAGTCGGCAAGTGCAGTCAGAGGCTTCACCACATATTGTTGAAGATGGATGATTTAGGCTGAAAGCTGCTACAAGTTCTCATTTTCTCACTTTTGAGATAACCCAGCTTCAGTCAATAAACACAGTAAGATGAAGTGTTGGCAGCGAAGTAAAGTCTTTTGAGGACACATGGAAAATATTAATCTCAGTTTATTCTTATCAGCTTCTTCGAAGTTTCCCAAAGTTTTTGAGGGCTTTTTAAAGAGCGAAGGTTAAAGTCACAACAAAATCAGAGCCTAACAAAAGAATAACAAACACTTTTACTTTCAGTCATATAAACAAAGCTGTGTGGTAAGTTCTCTCTTTCTATTTTGTAAGTTGAAATGGATTTTTACTCTTCTGTTTAACTGGAATTGTGTCTTTGGTCATTTTTATTTAGGTTTATTTACAATGTTTAATATATAAACAGGATCTTTACAGTAGCATCACAGGATGTTTGTCTGTTGCCTGAGTCTGTACCCTACGAAATCTGATCTATAGGTTGACAACGTCCTACATGCCTACAGAGGAAATAGGAGTACTTTAGACATGACTTCTTGACCTGCTGTTCCTCAAATGTTTTGCAGCTCAGTCTAATACTATAAAGTCTAGGTCTGAAGTTTAGTTTAGGGTTGCTATGGGTTTATAACTGCCATATAGAGCATGAAGAGAGAGTTCAATGTAGGGCTTTTATAAGTGCCACCTGCAGAGAACAGCTTCTCTGTGAGAGAACGTGCACTTTATCTTCATCTGTCTATGTTGTTGTTGAGGTGAACTACTTGAAATGGGAAACTCTCGAGTCTTGGCCCTTCTTTCAACATTCACTTAGAATCAGACGGAAAGGTTTCCTTTCAGCACCCCATGCGCCTGCTGGACAGCACACACTTCTGCACCCATCACTGAACATGGCAGAGTACAGGTCTGCTTTCCACCTGGAAACTTCAGGGTATGTCACAAACTCTTGCATTTTAGCTCTAATTCAGACACATTTTTTAGATGTCCACTGAATAAACTGTGCAGTCTTTATATTTGTAACATGCTGGTGATTCTTAATTTCATTTTGATGTCTATCTAACCCAGACAGCTGACTACTTAAGTAGGTGGAGGTTGTAGCTTCCTTGAGGATACTTGAATGATACTGTTACAGACTGATTCACCAACAACTTGGGATTTGAGCACTTGCCTAAGTTATTTTAAAAAGTCAGTGCAGTTGAAACTCATCCAGTCCAGGCTTAAAGCTGTTGTGGCTCCAGTATCACAATGCACAGCCAGCATAGTTTTCTAAACAATTTCACAGGCATTTGCATTCTTGGATAATACCATTAAAAACAAATAACAGGTTATTCATCTCAAAGCAAAGGGAGGAAAGGGATATCCTGATTGTTTCTGCTCTCAGAAGATATAAGGCCTGTATTTGATCAAAGTTTATTTTAGTAAGTCCGATAAATCAGACTTTAGAGGGCCTGCAGCTATCTGCAAAGTCTGGCTTTGTTTTGTGCAAGGTTACTGACAGGCCAAGACTTCACAAACTGATTTAATGAGACCCAATGCATCTGTTCCCAGTTTCACACCGGTGCCATCAAGTGGAAACAATCCTCATTCTGACACTCTGGATGCTTCTGAAGATCATACTTGCATACTATCCCTGAAAAAAAAAGAGCTGCAGTTCTGTTTGCTTTTCAGTCTGGATTTCAGCAAATGTCCAGAAATAACATTACTGCATTACTGCTGCGTGGGAAACTCTTTTCTGTTTTCCTTCTTTTCCACTTGAAAAGTCCCTCTGCTTCATTTTAGTGCTTGTTTCTTGATTGTTGTACTGTAGTCTCTAGTGTTAGTCATTTATAGCATTTCAAGTGAAGTATCTCAAACCCATGAGTAATATTAAAGTGCTAGGCTCATGCAGACAGCTTGGAGCCCATGTGCTGCAGGATTTCAGCCTGCAGCCCAGTGCTTCTGGCACCTCTGTTTTCTGGGAGCGATGAGTTTGCGCCCCTGTGGTTGGCAGAGAGAAGGATGGTGGATATTTTCCCACTGACTAGAGGAACTCCTGCCCTGAAACAAATGACTTGCTTTATTTCAAATGACAGAACCACTTCTTTCTTAGCACCTTTGCCCTTGGAAGTCCCACTTTGTTCAGAAACAACATAAGTTCACCCATTACAGGAGCCAATGGGAACACTAAATCCTGATTTCATTTGGATTCTGGGAAACAGAAAAAAATGCTTTCTGGGAGACAAAGCTACTTTTGCTCTTTGATCAAAAATATGTCCTACTGATCCACTGAGGTTTAAACATGGGCTGAGATTTGATTTTCGGATATGCAACTAACATTTCACCAGTTTTTTCATCACAGAATATTTTCAACCTGCAAAACTATGTATTGTGACTGTAACCTTTATAAAAAGAGGCCCGCTTTTTCAAATGAGGGCATAGAGTTTAGTTTAGTTTTGTGTGCATTTAGGCAGGAAGGGCCTAAAGAAATAGGCTGTCCAGTTTGTGGGGAAAGTGGGACTCAGTTTTAGGGACTTGGCCTATACCTCGATCATGATATCGTTGCCTGTGCTGCTTCACTTTGGCCATCCTTTCTTAATCTTTCTTGTAAGTTCACCAGTTTTATGGTCGTAAGTGTGATGCTAAATCACTGGAGTGGTCCTTTAAAGCACCGTGGAATATTTCACAAATGTCAGGCCAACTCACTTTGCTTGAGACTTTGCTTTTCTTCCATTATTTCATGGGGTAGTCCAATATTTCAGGATGTATGATTATTCGGCTTCTGGCTGAGAGTTAGATGAGAAAATTGATACTACTCTCATGTCTGTGCGATAAATATTAATCTACAGCCAGCAACAAGTAGTATAGTTTGAGGAGTCCAGCATGAGACAGGCTGGTATTTCACACCACTGTGACTGGAGAAGAGGCTTTCCTGTGCACGCTCAGCTTTCTGTGTGTCTGCGTGTCTGACAATCTGGTGCTGAGCTCCACATCCCTGCCTCCAAGATAAACACATATTAACACCAAACTCTCTGATCTTTAACGCATTTAGCAATGATGACCCCATTCTTGGGGTCAGTCCAAACAGACCCCCTGGTGACGTTTTCTTTAAAAACCACTGGTGAAAATGAACTTTACTTGTTTCTTGTTCTGTCAGTTAATTGCAGCCAGTTTGCTTGTTCGTTGTTTTAAAATGCCTGCTGCTTGTTAAACACTTGCCTCAGCAGAAAATGCTGGTTTTCTGTGTCACACATTGACATCCTTTGGCAAAGCTGTATGAACCACCTTGGAATGTGCTCTGGGCTTGAAACCAGCAAGCCGGTGCCAGACCCATATAGCCAGCCTTTGGTGAATGCCACGTGGACTATTCAAAGCGCTTCAACCCAAATATGTCTGCTACAGAGCTATGAGAGCGAGGGTCTGACTTCCCCACTTTCCTTAATAGCACATTTTTTTCCTGGCCTCACCACCACTTTCTTAACTCCTTCACTCCCTGGGTTCTGTGAGACAAATGGGCTGGTACAAAACCATAAACAGAGTTTGTTCATCTCACTAAACCATAAGACTTTGCAATTGTATGAGAAAAAAGACCTTTGTTGAGGTATTTCAAAAGATCTAATTTTACTTTACTATACAATGGGTATTTGAGGACCTGGACTTGCAGTGGTGGGAGATTGGCTCTAACGTTCTAGATGAAGTCCATCCTAGGGCTTTTGGTAATTGCAGTCTAGAAACACACATATAACACATCTATCAGCCACACACTGGGTGACATGTTCATTCATTATCACTGACCTGGGCACTGTATTTTATTTTGAGCCAGTCTGACAAACAGCAACTTGCTGCTGTAAATAAATGAATGCATTTCAGCTGATATGGTAAATATTAGTAATGTTGGTTAGAAGGCTTTATATTAAAGCTACAGTATGTAACTTAAGGTAGCACTAGCATGAAACTCCAAATCAGTCCACTCTGCTCCACTATGCTCACCTACAATCTGCTATGCTCCACACGCTCTGCCCAGCTCTTCAGATATTTGTCGTTATGAAATTACAATAAATGAGAATGCTCAATGATCAGGCAGAAATGAAATCAAAACCATTTAGAAGCTAATATCTCTACACCGCTGCCAGTGCTGTTCAATGAGTCTGAGTCACAGGAGGTGTCGACAGCACCTCTCCACATTAACACAAGTTTTGGAGCAGATTTCTGCAAGAAAAATATTTGAAAAAGTTACATACTGTAGCCTTAACAGTATGACAGTTGATGACGGGATACTTTTCCATCCTCATGTACATAATCAACAAAATGGTGTACAAGTGATTTATTTATGAAACAGAACAATCTTACATTAAATGTAAGAAAATGTATATCTAACCACACAAGTGTACACAAACATTTACATTTTGTGCATTGCACACTCTTAACAAAATGAACAAAATAAGAAACAAACATGAATGTTACACAGACTAAGGACAACAAGGTTGTTTTTTAACGCGTCTTCAATCCACATCATACAGTCACACTTTTTGAAGAGACCTTCATCTGGACTGCTTTCTAACCAACACTAAAGTTTCATCACATAAAAAAAAAGTTATACTTATACCTGTGAATGACAAGGTCATTCAGCTGTTGATGTGGTGCTTCATACACAACATTAGTTTCACAAGGAATCACGAACCTAAACTGCAGTTTTCTTTATTTAACTACCTTCAAACTGATGGCATTACCTTGAACTACTTCCCTTTTTTTGGCAGACATGTCACTAATAAAAACTGTTTCAGTATCAATTAAGAGAGAGGTGCATGCTACAGTGCCACAAGCCCATATTGCAGCCAATACTGGTGATGGAACATTTATAAGTTCCTGGAGAACGCAGAGTGGGAGCATGGAAAAATGTTCCACATCTATAAAAACAGATATATCACTGTGAGGACAAAGAGGCCCTGTCTGGACACTTAGGAAAATAAACACACTGGCTTTTTAATGTACATATTCTACCAGAACTAACTTTCTCTGGCAGGCAGCTGCTATCACTGATTATTTAAAAAGCAGCTAAATGTTTCGATGTCTGATGTCAAAGCTTTATGCTGCAGTTTATTTGAAAGGTTTGAAAAAACTAACAAGTAAAGGAAGACAAACATCAGTACTATAATGTGTTATCTTTGTGTTTGTGATATTCAATTATGAGTTTTGTCAGTGTAAACAAATAAATAATTATTTACAAACTAGCAAAAATGCAAAACAAGCAGAGCATAAATAATTTACAAAATGAATTATAATACAGACTTAGTATAAACATCTTTGGCACTTACTAAAATGGCTTATTTCAATCATTCACTCAAGTCCATTAAAAAACACATTCAGGATAAAAAGAATCAGGAGAATAATAATGCAAAGCTAAATGATTATGCTTTGGTTACAGTTTATGTTTGTCAGTCACTGTATGTCAGTTTTTCTGCAAAACAGAAGTCATGAATAAATGAACTTCTAATCCAACATAAAAAAGACAACAACCCAGTCACTTACACGTTGTAGAAAGCAAGAAAAACTGTGGAAAAGCACATGCAGCATGAAGAGGCTGTAAGGAATCAAGGAATCATTTAAAAGTAAAGGCATAGGTACACTAGTTAACTAGTTATATATTCGGCAGAGGCTTTTTAAAAAGTCGTCCACTCTCATCAGTTTTATTTTCCACCTTGGGGAATATGTATAAATCACCAGGAAAACTGAAATCGGCCATGTTTCCTCTCCAGTGGATGGAAAGTCTCATTTGTACTGAAATGGATTTAGCGATGACATGATGTTTACTTTAAGGGATTGTTGTCTTTTGCCCTCTGATGTTTTTCTGTCCAACTTGATTCAGTTATCTGCGGAAAGATTCAGGAAATAGCTTCCATTACTGCCACATCTCTAATCAAAACTAGCACACACACAACGAGATTCACACAGTCAAAAGTGCCAGAGTGCAGCAACAACATGTGTATTGTGTGGGTCAAAAAGCATGTTTTCCATAACACGGCTGTGGTTGTGAGAAGGCTGCGGACTCATTTTCCACTGTTTAGTGCTCAACAGAAGATCTGAAGTCCTTGGATCAACACACAAGGTCTTTCACAATGCATCTGGGGCATTGTACATAAACAAACTGACAAGCAGAAACATAGCGTGACTTTTCTTTTTTTTTGCGTCAGCCAACACACAACAAGTAACTGCTCTCACCATTACCTTGTGAACACTTCAGAAAACTCCGGCTTATCTGAGGTTTGAAAAAGATGATTCAAGTGTAAAGATTTTACTCACATTTTTCAAATATAGAGAGATTCTTCTGCACTATAAAGAATAAATCGCTATGCACCTGAGAGCTGTAGCAAAATCATTAAGAGCCCTGTCAACTTGACAAACCAAAATTAAACAAATTAAAACTAACTCTACATTGGTTTCTACACATTCTTAACATGGAGATGGCTGCTGTTGCCAGTCTGCTAATATCATGAACACACACACATATGCACACATTTTTTAAAAGTAACAAAACAGAGATATTTATTGTAATAACTTTAAAGTGAGGGAAATGTTTGCACTAACCTCTGCACTCGTACTTCAGGTCGGAGAAGAACACCAGCTCTTGTGAGAAGACAAACAAACCTAACCTTCCTCCGGCAAACGTCTTGTCATAAACCGGTCCTGAGTCAGCCATGATCTGTTTCCCTTCATAGACCACAACCCTGAAAAATGCAGGATGAATATGAACTTCTTTCTGTGTTGAGATGATGGTGTTTACTTAATGTACTGCATATTCTGTCACTATATTCAGTGACTGAGAAGTGGCTATCTGTACCTCAATCCCCACCCCCCTACAATACATTTATCACCTTAATGTGGAGAAATGTGGCTAAACCAACATTTCACCAACCATTTCTTATAGGTTTTTGTTTCTCTCCCTTCTGTTTTCACTATAAACCTATGATTGCATAATAACATAACCAAAATACATGATTATTTATTACTCACCTTATAAAACCAGTCTTTGGTCTGTGGATTAGATGCCACCTGTAAGCTGTGTAATCCTTCCAACCAATGTTTTTGGGGTCATGCCACAGAGTACGCACCTACGTAAAAGAGTTACCAACATTAACATTAATATAGCTACAGCATTTAAAGCAAACCTAATAACATTCAGACCGCAGCCAACCTGTCCAGGTGTGTTGCCCGTGTGCCACAGAGCATTCCTGAGGTGTTCTCCAGCGCCTGTGGTCGAGTTGACAACTTTGAGCGAGACGCCAGAGATGCCAAAGGCCTTGGAGGGCTTTTCCTCCCAGTAAGTCTGTGTGATCTGCTTCCACATCACTACATAAAAGCGAGAACTCGACTGGTAGCCAAACACAAAGCCCGCGTAGTCATCATCTCTATCTGTGTTTACATACATCGTTCCGCTGAAGTCCACAGCATTGAACTCATCGAAACCTGCGAGCGTGTGAAAGAAACATGATGTCTTAAAGAGGAACAAATTAACACAACATGGTTACTGCACAGTGGATGTGTGTACTGCTCACCTACAGCAATGCCTGGATCAGAGTTGGCGGTCTGAACCAGCTCTTTGCCCTGGTGTCTGACCACCCAGTTGGGGTCAATTTGAGTGGTTCCTTTAGGGTCCAAGTGGACCATCTGGAACTTCCTGAAGTCTGTAGCACTGATGTCACTGTTCTCTGGACAAACATCAAGAATATCTGGGATGCTGTCATTATCAAAGTCATCTTTGCAGGCATCCCCTCGACCATCACCTGTTGAAAAAAGACATCAAATATGTCTGACCTAATTTAAATGAAACATGCAAGATATAAACTACATTTTCCCCCAAGATGGAAAAATAAGTATCTTGGTACTTTCATTACAGTGAATGTTCTTCAGAGTAAGCATTAAAAATGAATGAAAAAATAAAAATTCCTTCCTGGAAACTGGCTTTAATACTTTGCCAAGTTAACAGGGAAATCAGTAGTTTTTCATGCTGTGACAACTTCCACTGATAGTTGCAACTGTGTGAAGTCTGAAGTCTATTAGAATCAGACTGCAGACCAGGAGTTCACAGTGGAAAGGCTGCCAGCGGATAATGAAGGCCACTGTATGGAAGCAGATCACTGCTTTCTGTCATCATCTCTGTTATTGCAAAAGAGGCTAAAACAATGCTATCAAATAAACACTGTCTGACAAGCTGTAAAGTGTGTGAAAGTGTCACTTTCTGTGCTAACCCAGGTGTTGACTCAACACTGTAACCACATGTTACATCTTACCATCAGAGTCCAGCTGGTCTGAGTTGGGCGTCAGTCTGCAGTTGTCCTTGTCGTCAGGTATACCGTCATTATCGTCATCATAGTCACACGCGTCTCCTCTGCCGTCCTTGTCATGGTCAGCCTGGTTGGCATTAGCCACATAGGGACAGTTGTCCAAGTTGTTCTGATGGCCGTCTTCATCAATGTCTTGGCTGTTGTCACACTGATCTCCAACCCGATCATTGTCAACATCAGTCTGTTGAATAAATGCAGATGTTAACAACCTAAACACTTTCTGTGCCTACTCTTGTACTGGAGTGTGTATTAATATGCAGTGTGGGACAGTACCTGGTCAGGGTTGTGCAGCATTGGACAGTTGTCACACTGGTCACCAACTCCATCCATGTCAGTATCCTTCTGGTCAGTGTTATACACATAGGGGCAGTTGTCATTTTCATTCAGAATATCTGAAGGAAAAAAAAGAGTAGTAGAATTTAATTCAGAAATAAATTAATTTGCTGCCATAGATAGATTGATTACACAGTTTTTATCTGTTTAGGCTCAGCTAATTTACCATCTCCGTCAATGTCCACTGCGCAGGCGTCTCCTTCTCCATTGTTATCAGTGTCTATTTGCGCAGGGTTGTGTTCATAGGGACAGTTGTCGCAGCGGTCACCGACTTCATCCTTGTCAAAGTCAGACTGGCGAGGATTGTAAAGGAGGGGACAGTTGTCCTGTGCCAGAAACGATCTGTTTGTTAGTGAATTCTGATCACAGAATAAAATGTGCCCAAATGTTGAAAACTCTCTTACCGTCTCATCTAGAATTCCATCGTTGTCATCATCCTTGTCACAAGCATCTCCTTGACCATCTTTGTCAAAGTCTTCTTGTCCAGAGTTGGGAAGGTTGGGGCAATTATCCTGAAATAGTAGCAGGAGGTTCAGATGTTTTACAGATATTTAGACTGACTGCAGGACAGCCTATATCAAATAAGGTGCAAAGTTCAAAGGAATACCTTCTTGCAGTGATAAGTGGCGTTGGCACCACACACAAGGTTCTGATTGGGCCAGCCATCCAAGTCTGAGTCTTCTCCACAGATGAAGCCATCTCCAGCATAACCGGTCCTACACTCACACTTGTACATTGGGTCACTGAAGTGGCTGATGTAGATGCAGTCGGCATATTTGTGACAGTTGTGTGTCCTATCCTTGCATGGGTTTTCTGGCTCACAGACCTAAAGAAGAAGGAAAGCAGGTGGAAATGTATGATGGGATTTGTCACTGACCACATCAAGAGCACTGGATGGGATCTTCCTGGAAAAAAAATGGCCCTCCATTCAAGTCAAGAGTACTGCTGCACCTTGTAGATAATTGGATGGCCTGATCAAACTGAGAGATCCTCCAGGCTAAAGTGAAGGGTTAAAGGAAAGACTGAACAAATTCAAAATGTTGGGGCACTTCTGGGCACAGTTTATTTTATGAAATCCCCCTTAATGCACCCCATTACGACCTACTGCTGCCCCTTTATTGCAGCACAAGGCATTCACAGCTGCCACTCATTACTGAGGGATAAATATAACTCAGGTTTGGATGCCCCTCCATGAGCTCATAAAGTAGAAAGTGACAGCAAGAACAGTTCTTTGATCAAAACTGTGAAATGGAGCCCCTTAATGCCAGCGATGAGACAATTTTCTTTTCCACAAGTCAGTTAGGGATACCGGGGCATCAAATCAAAGGCCAGCAGCTGCAGAGGCTGAAGACTGACAAAATGGTCCGCAAGGGATATTATGCAAGCACCGGCCAGACTGTATGTTTTCCAAGGACTCAAAAGGTAGCAGAAAACAGTGTGTTCCAATTAAGTAGTTAATGTGACATGTATGACATTTCATATTACCCATGATATAGATACAATTTAGCACAGGACTGAAAAGAGGAAACCCTGAGTTGTTTTAAAGATTTAGTGGGTAGAGCCAAAGTTAAGCAAAACAATTTACATCATTTTGCTTGAATAAAAGCACTGATCTTTACAACATCTACAATAAAAACAACAGTTTCAATATCCCTGAAAGTGCAAGAGATGTGTAACATATGTTTGCTGTTATGAGTTGCCCAGCGCTCCTCCTTTTCTTTTTTTACTTGCTGATACTGGATCAAGGTGAGCCATATTTATATGTGGTGGCCCACAGCCCTCACAAACACCCTCACCGCAAAAATGAGGATTATAAATCAGTCGAGCTGCTGTTTCCATCATTCATAAATATGGTTCTCACAGACAAAAATCCAAGCAACCGCATTTGAAAATGTGCCTGAAACCAAAGGATCTCTTTGTGCCCTTTCCTTTAGCACATTTTGTTCTCACCTTTAAGTTACCCCTGTTTAAAGGGCACCCAATACATAGTTGATTTTTGGTACTGAACACACTTCAGCTCACCTGTTTGTTCTTCTTGGCAGCCTCCACACCCATACCGAAAGGCTGGGTACCCTTGTAGCGTTTTGGACAGGGTAGGCAATGGAAACCTGGGTCTGTGTTGACACAGCGTTGCGTTCCACTCACTTTGTAACAAACATCCGACACCATATCACACTGGAGGAGGGAAGATAAGCATAAGTAAAATGATGACAAACGAGCTAACAAAGGGTTATATGAATAAAGTCTACACACGTCTGATTTATGCACATAAGAGCAGGAACTTTTACTTCATTAATGTCTTCACAGTGGGTACCATTTCCACGGAAACCAACAGGACATGGGCCGCACTCCCAGGATCCATCTGGAGAGCTGTTGCAATCCACTCCTCCAAAGCATGGGTTAGACAGACAGCCATCTGCAGGGGAGATGACAAGAATGAATACAAACAAAGATGAAAACTTTGTTGGACAATCTGTGTAGTGTGTATCCAAATGATCCAAGTGTAATTTGTAATGGTTCTTAACATGACACGTCAAGATAAAGACCCACTGCCTGGGTAGGTCTCATCCTCTGCATTGACAGTCTGACCTAACAACCTGGACTTTAAAGGGCTAGTTCACACAAATTACAGAAAGCCTATTTTATCACCAAAGTAATGGATTGATTTAAATTCTGACCTGATGAAAGCAATCACTGACGTCATTAGGATTCATGTTTGTACATAATTTTATGGAAATTTGTTCAATAGTTGCTGAGATGCTTCAGTTTGGCCCAAAGCACACTGTTACCATGACTAAAACATAATGCAGAGTGCCTAGTGCTCACCAATAGGACAGTCTTTTTTGTTGCAGCTGTCACTGTCGCCGGCCTCCCCGATACACCTCTTCCCACCATGCTGAGGTTGAGGGCTGTTGCACTCACGTGTTCGACCTTTGACTCCCCCTCCGCATGTTGCTGAACAGGTTGCCCATGGAGACCAAGGACCCCAACCGCCATCAACTAAAAGATACAGACAGATGTTCAGGAACTATTCCACAGATATTACAACTCTGCTTCTAAATAAAAATATGTCAAAATTCAACATCCAAATTCAGAAAGCATCCAGAGTCTGAAGCCTGGATCTTACTACTATAAGAGAAAACATATTGAGCTGATTTGGGTCAACATTTCCTGAAAGAAAACAAGCCAAAACACATGGTGAATTTTGCCTCAGGGGAGATGTGAGGCACAAGGAAGCCTGGATGTTTGACACTGACGCTAGCTGCTGTAACGAAGACCTGCTTTTGAATGTTCTTCTCAAGAGCTAAACTACTCACTGGGGCAGGGCTTGGCAGTGCAGCGCTGAGTCTCTCTCCCACTTCCCTCGCAGTCTTTGCCTCCCAGCTGTGGCACAGGAGCGTTGCAGTGTCTTATCCTGGTGATCTGTCCTTCTCCGCAGGTCACTGAACAGGAAGACCATGGCGACCACAGACTCCACCCTCCATCCTGGCGAACTGGTTATCAAACATCAAACATCTTAGGCAGTGATTAGCAAAACAGGCATGTAATATCCTCCAGACTTCCATTCAGTCAAACAGCTACAGACATGTATAATTTACAACAAAAAAAAAAAGAAAAAAAAAGGCCACCACGTTTTTTATCATGATTTTGATGATGGCTCGCTCTCAGAGATACTTGGGCCAATATTTATGTCATTGTGGGTAAACTATCTTCCAGTGGTTAAACCGACTCAGTCCCTCACACAGATGCAGCATAAAGCTAGCTGCAAGTCATAACACATACTAATCCAGCCATTTATCAAACACCCAAATCATGAGTTTTGACAGCTCGCGTAAATGTAGTGAAATCTCCTGACACTCCAGCTCGTATATGGTACATCTAATGGCCAAATTTATTAACGTTTCATATTTTTACATGGCAGGTGAGCCATTGCACTATGGAACACACAGCCAGTGATTTATTTATTGCATTACTTTGACTGGGCACACCCTGCAGCCCAACCCTGTGAACCAACTCTTGGATTCAGCTTCAACAGATTAATGGCGGTAAGAAATTAGTTTTTTGCACTTTAGAGGATTTTATCTCATATTTAATTCAATGCTGAGTTTTTTCCACAGTTCCATCACATTCCTCTCTCCCTTATGTCATATTGATGTTTGTTTTAGTTTATTGTGTAGTTGTGTCAATGACATATGGTCAGGATAATATCACTAGCACTAAGGTGGTTACTACTGGATGCCATTCATTTAAATTAAAATCGATTGAGATTAGATAAAGTATTTTAAAAACTATCCTCACCACGTCTGTCACATTTGCCCAGGCTGCACTTGCGAGTCTGGATAGAAGGTCCAGTGCAGGGGTTACTGGTTGCATCACATGACCGACCCCTCTGTTGCGTCCCTATCCCGCAGGTGACTGTGCACTCTGTCCATTCCGACCAAGGGGACCAGCCATCCTCACTGTCTTTAGCTGGAAGAAGTAAAAGCACATAGTCAACATTTCTATTCCTGTTTTTCATAAACATACTCTCATATCTACTTACTGAACAGAAAAATAAAAGTACTGGAAACAGGTTATGACGGTACTGTTTTTACCTTTATGTTTATAACATTGCCTAAACCCATAGTAGCCATTCTGAGTGTTTTATATTTACTACTAAACTGTGACAAAAGACAAACTGGCTGCAACAGTCATATGGTATTAAATTTAAGATATACGCAGAATATTGTTTTTACAGAATATTGCACCAATAATTTGATAATAGCATGCATGCATAAAACTACATGTGTGTTAGTAATTTTGCTTATATGTCAAGTCCATTTACTAATAGGAGGTTCTGGCTACTTACGCATACACACAGGGCAGCACTCGCCGTCAATAAATGATGGGCTGGCACAGGCCACTGGGGGGCATGTAATTTGGTGACACACAATCTTGGACTCCTGCCACCAGTGAACATTAGAGATACATTAAGGTCATTGATATCCACAGTAAATCTGTACAGTCTTACATCCAGCTTGGCACTACCTGGCAGGTACATTTGGTGCAGCTGTCTACAACCCAGTCTTCCTTATCATCAAACAGGCGGCCATCCTGCCAGCACATGTTTTTCTCTTTAGAGTTCTTTATCTTCCCGAGGGTCTCCTTCATAGCTTTGTTCTCCTCTGTCTGAACATACAGACAAATTTGCAGTCAGAAAGGAGGTCAGTCAGAAATGATCAGGACACACTTGTGATTATGAATTCCATTAAGAATGTGAAGGTATACACCTGCTGACAAGAGTGTTTTTTTTTAAGAAAGCACATGTGAGGGAAAGTACATCCTGCTCCCATAGAAGTACTGTTACTCACTTTGATATTATGTTGAAAATCAGGCAGGTTACACATTACTATCTGTACTATTCTGTACATATCATATTACAGTAAGTAGTATCCTCATCCCCTCAGTGAATCTATCCAAACAATATATATATATCCCTATATATCCCCATATATCAGTGACACTTTAAGGTTGATGTTCTGAGATGTCCCATGAGAGAGAAAAGGCTCAGAGAAAACCTAAATGGACCAGAGAGAAGAATTTTTAAATACATTTAAAAAGCACACCTACTTAAAAAACTACTACCCTGTATTATCAAGAATACTTATAAACTGTACTTCTTGTTACCTCAAACATTCAAGTTGGTTATATCACTAATGTTTCTTTAAAAAAGTAACCCACTGAAAAAAGCTGCTTAGCTAAGGTAACCTCCAACCCAGTTGGAGACCAGGGGATCTCTGGCTGGACTTCCCAACAATTGGAAACTGTCAGTCAAAAAACTACTGCCAAAGGTTTGTGTGAATGTATGTGTGAGTTCTCCTTTTGGAAAATAGAGGCCACAGTATGCTGCACTAGAATCTAAGACACCACTCGGTCTGGAAGAGCCTCAGGGACCCTTGTTGTCCCCTCCCCAAAAAAAGTTCATGCCCAGACTCTCCTATTGCTGGGTGGCTCCCAGAGGAAACACATGGGCTGTTTAAACATAGCCAGACATTAGACTGGACCCCACCGCTGCCAGGGAACACTTCCTATATCCACATGTAACATGCCATAAAATTTCTCTGACTCACACTGCCACACATAGCAGGAGTTGAAAGGGCTCAGCCATCGCAGTCACTCTATAAACAGTCCTGTGGCTAAAGACTGTTTGCTTTCAAACCAATCTAGGTTACCTAGTAGCCTAATTCCAACCTACGACCTCCTGGCTGCCACATTATGAACTTTATCATTTCTTTTGCTAACATGTCAGTTTTCCCTAAAATGTTTTTGTCCCTCACACAAAGAAAGATTTAGGTGATTCATCACTGATATTGGCCTGTAAACTACAGTGAAACAGGCAGTACAGTAGCTTGACTAAAACAAAGTCAGGATTATGTTGATTTACACTGTGTAAGAGTGAATCAATCAGGCTAACATATTTGTCACTTCTACTACTTACCACTTTTTGCAAACCATCAATGAGGTTACTGACAACAACGCGAAGGCCTCTGAGCTCCTGGAACATGGTGCTTAGTTCCTCACAGGAGCGCTCGCACATATCTGGGGCCATCTCTTCTGTCTTCTGACCTATTATGTTTGTAGTGATGGGGGGGTTTACATCCACAATTTCTGTGTCCTCACTCACAATATTGGCTTCATCTGGAGGGGCAAAAAAGACAGGGTGAATGAGCAAGCAAGCAAATGGATGAGCAGCACAGACTGGTGATGGAAAACATGTCTGAGAGGTATGATGACTGAAGCCCAATGACTGACCAGGGAGTGGAACAATTTCCTGTTTTCCTGTGGTCAACCAAAAATCACAACAATGCTGTGATTACAGTGTTTATTGTGGTCCCAAATACAGATGTTCAATCAACGGGGTTTGATTTGGAAAATGGATCTGTTTTGAAGTGGTGACTGTAAATCTTTCCACCAGAGATGACAACAGGTTTGGCTGTTGGGAGGATGAGAAGGGATGGCATTCATGCTGTTGTCATAAATCTCCATGACCTTTTACAAAAGTAGAGATTCAAAATATAAATTTAACGGACTGGAATGACCACACATGGATTTAGCCTACAAATCTCATGCTCGTGTCCTTACAGCTGACTGGAGATACCCTTGTGTAGATGTCAACACACTGGTGTGAAAATCCCTTGAGTAGCAGCATTAATCATTCACTGCTACCACTGAGGGAAGGGTTAGAAAATCTCGCCCTTCAATGAATGTGAAAAGAAATACAATCTTCAACATCAGGGTTGATTGAAGGGTGTAATGAGGCTGAATGATGAGTTGTCCAGTCCAGACTAATGTGTTTGCCAGCTGTGAACTCTGTACAAAACTACAAATCACAAAGCAGGCACCTTTTCTGGGATGGAGTTTACATTAAACCATATGATAAGTATCTATTCTTTACTTTCCCTTAATTTATCTTTCAATTTATCCCCTCTAATTTTATCTCAACCATTATATGAATGTTATGACTATATGCCGAACACAAAGACACATATTAAAGCTCCATGCAGAGCCAGCCATGCAGCCAAAGCCTAGCACATACATGCAACCAGTTTGGATCTTGTTATGTAAATTGGTAAAGATTAACAGCAAACCAAAGCACAAAACCATCCAAATTGCTCAGTGATGTCACACTGTAGCCAGCACTATGTTTTATTTACTTTTCAGTCTGCCGGATGCATTCAAATATCTGGAGGAGTTCATCCTGTGTGTGCGTGTGAACACATGCTAGTTTGTCTGTGGAAGCATTTCCACATTCCTCTCTCTCTGATTGATGTTTTATATTTTCTCCAAGCAGAGAGAGGAAAGAAGAAAAGATGAGCAAAAATCTTGGGTAGTTTAATACTGCTCATTAGTGTCCAACATGACAGTTTTTATAAGCACGGGCTGTGTGGATTTATGAGTAACTTTTGCCATTAAAACTGCGACCAGTGCAGAACCTTGTCTGGTACCAGCCAGTGCACAGAAAACCTCCAGGCCTTGGTGACATTTGTTAAACGAATAAACTCATTCAGCTGAAATTCAACACTGCTTGTGGCAACAGAATTTCAACAACTGCTCTGTCACGCACAAACTCGCATATGGATTTACTTTGTCACAGATCTGGTGACCCTTTGGCCTCGTTGTAAAGGACGATTTCCAACATATCTACTCAGATGTCTTCATCCTTTTGGTGTCAGTCGCTGTTTGCGTGAGTCCCAATGAGGATCACTTGGTGCTATTCCTCATGCGAGCTGAGAAAAGCAACCCAATCAGCCAATTCATGACTTCACTGCGTGTGTGTGTGCAGCTGGAAGTGGAAGCTCCCTGCTCTGCAGTATAGCATTTACTTTCTCTCTCCTCTTTTTTCTCCCAGGGCATTATGCCGAGTCCTCTGCCAATAGGAACAAATGTAAGCATCTGTACCTCCTTTCGTTCACCCCACACGCACCGCTCAAACTCAAGCCACTGCTCTGACCCTGCGTAAACATGAAGTCATGCTGGGAGATCTTGCCACATATCAAATCTGCAAACTTTTTGACTCGCTTAAAAAAAAAAAAAAGCAAAATTCATGCAAAGGGAGTCCACTAGGAATACTAAACTGTTTGGTCTGGAAAGTTGCTGTAGTTGATACTTAACAAAACACAGATACCATGCGTTGGAGGATTGCATGTGAAAGAATTTCCAACTCACATCTGCAAGGTATAGGGCTGGGAACTTTTTCCAAATATAATTAATTTGACTCATATTTTGGATGCTGAAAATGATGTGAACAGAAATGGTCTTATGGAGTCTATGTAGCAGAAACCTTTTGGGTGTATGCTTGTTTAAACATTTAAATTCACTCTTACCTTGCTTAGTGACCTCACATTCTCTGCTCAGTAGGACGTCTTCCACTGGAGTGTCAAAGATGAAGCGCACATTCTGCAGGAGGCCCTGTTTGGTAAGGAAAGACATGTCTCAATCATTGTAGTGATAGTCTCTACTCTATACAGTACTTTGGTTACTTTTGACATGTTTCAGAAGTGACATATGCCCATTTTCTATACCCACTATTTAAACATTTTTAGACACAAGGGGCAATTTAGAGTCTAAATTTGGAGTCCTTTCCACACAGAAAGACCAGGGCAGCACAGAGCCACTTTGCCACTCTTTGAAGAAGGAGCATATTAGTGTCTACTTCTGGAAACTGGTGTTTAAAATGAACTTTAATTTTAAGCTCATTGTAGACCACAGTTTTGTTTCTTGTAAATTAAGAGAGGTGATAAAATACTGTTGGGTTACTTAACTCACACAGCACAGCTAGAAAAGTTCCCGGATCCTGGGAAATTCTTGTCCAGCTACCTAAAAGCCGCATTTTCTGTCTTACCCTGAAGTGATTCTCCCGGATGGATCCCTTGGCAACATACATGCGGCTCCCCTCAGCCTGCAGGTGCTCGTAGAACGGCTCATCCAGGATGAAGCTGTCAATCAGGCTGCAGCCCACAAACAGGTGTGCATTTTCTCCATGAACATGAAGTGTGACATTCTTCCACTGAGAGTCAGACAGGTCCACATCCTCGAATGAAACAACATTCTGCGAGCCGTCCACCCAGTATACCAAGTCCAGAGTGTTGGCCCGTCCATTGGACACAATCTCAAACTGCCTGCGGCCATCAGACCCCTCCAAACCAATCAGGGTGCCCCGAGAGTTGCGGTCCTGGCGTATGGTGGCCACAAACACAAAGCCCTCATTGTTTTGGATCTGTCGTAGTATCTGTTTTAGTATGGGGGCACTCACTGGGGGCACGTGGTCAAAGCGGATGAAGCGGTAAGCAGAGGTGTCTGAGTTCTGTCCCCGGAACACTTTGGCCCCCAGAGTCTTGCGTGAGATGTGGCTGATTTCAAACAAGTCGAATGATGTCTCATCCTCCTGCTCACCATCTCCAAATGAGACAAGAGCACATGGAAACAGACAGTTACTTTAGGGGGAAAGAAGAGTTGATAAAAACAAAACAGCTATTTTTAAAACAAAACAACCAAATGAAATGACAATCAAACAGCAAAATGTTTAGAGTTTAGTCTTCAGTTTCCCCTTAATGATTGTACCCACTAGAAAGGCTTCTTGAAGTAACTTAGTTTTAATAATAATAACAAATGTATTAATAGGTCTAAATGTAACTATATTATTAATGTTGCTATACCATTCATTATTATTGTTATTAATCAAACATTAGGGTCATTTACACATTAACACGATTTTTCCACTCACCTGGAGGTAATGCATGGAGGAAATTAAAGAACAGCAGCAAGAAGAGACTTCTCCTGAGTATCATATCTCCTTCAACAAACAAAACAAATCATTTCTATGAGTTTAAAAATCGTTCGTGTTCATTCGACATCCTGGGTCCATCTCAAATGTTGACTTTGCACTTGATCTTTTCAGTTACCCAGTGAGCAATTCAAAAACATTAGGGGAAAAATGACGCGAGATAATAATGGCGCATAAGATACAGTCAGCTACAAGAAAGGTAATAAACAATAATACTGACTGCTGAGGAATAAAATCCCGATGAGCTTTTCAGATTTGCAGTACTGTTAAATGTGTCTCTGAGCTTTTCAGATTTGCAGTACTGCTAAATGTGTCTCTGACCTAATACTGTCTCTCTAACGATAAATAGGCTATTGCGCCTTCCATGTTAACTTACCTGACGAAGGCGGTCTTTTTCAATAAATATCCGAAAGCAAGAAAAAAAACTTACTTGATGACTTGAGTTTACGAATAAATGCGAATGAGAAGAGTTATCTCCAGTAAAGGCTGTGCGTAAAAACGTAAAGTCCACTTTGGTTCACCGCATCCACAGTCTGCAGTATTTGAGGCACAACAGTGACTGAAGAACCCACCTCCCCCTTCTTATATAGAGACTCGCAGAGAGCCTGTCAGTCAAAATGTTTTGGGTATGAACCGCCTTTGTTCGGTTGTTAAGAGACAAAGTTACATAATTATCTTCCGGCTGCCTAATTTTCTTATCCCTGCGCACACACAGAGACTGGTTGGCTGGTATGAGGTATCGTGACACCTCCTCCCCTCCCTCTGTTCTTCACCGTGATGCCCAGCATCCCCTACCCATCAAACCCACTTTCTCACTATGTCCCGAGCTAATTCACTTTCACTGTGGAAGAGAAATGTGTGGACGTTGTTTTGCTCTGGAGAGACAAAAGTTATGGCGATGAAGAAACTAAGTTATATTGCTGTAGTTTCCTATGTGCACTTCATAAATGTGTTACTACCAGGAAAAGTATAATACATTTAGAGATTTGTGGTGTCAGAAATATCATTTACCCCTCATTGACTCCCTTCAGGTCTGTGCCCTTTCTTGAATATTATAGGTGAAAAAAGAAATAACCCAACTCAAGTAAAAAAAACGATTAGGTGGCTACAGGCATTTAGACTACAACAGTGTTATAAGTGAAAACCTACAACATCAGAGTTACTCAAGGTCGAATCCAAGCTAGTCTGCACAAAAAGACTCACTAAAAATTATGTTTTGGATGCCTCCACATTGCTGACAAATTATGCCTCATGTCTGGAGATTGTCAGGCATTGCCAAAGCTTCCAAACTGCCATGTCAGGGAAAGAAAACTACAATGTCTCCTTCTTGTAGCCTTAAAAAAGAATCACAGGGCTGGATGTCGGTAGGTCTTTGTGGACCTGTAAGATACATCTCAGGCTTGTTTGCGTCAATTGGAAATGTGCATTCCAATTAAAGGAAAAAAGAACGTGAAGAACAGATAGTTTCTTGGTACATGGCAACTGACTTTCAACAACATGGATTCACTGACCTGAGAGAAATGAGAAACAGTAGTGGATGTTTAGTCAGACATCCAAGAATAGAACAGTTCTTAGTGATGATAAAAATGTTCTGCAGTGGCCAGAGTACATCAGATTAAAAGTGTCAGGGCTGGAAAAGGTTGAAATATTCCACAGACCTGCACTCATAAAACATAGTGCAAACTGTCAGTTGTAGTTGTATGTTCCTTTGAAACCATGAATCATCAATGATATAATGTCAGGTATGGAAGAAAATAGTCTTCAGTGGCTATTTTAGTATCAAACTAGATCTCACTGTAACCTCTGTATCAATATGTACAAATCCAAATTATTAATTACACTTTCAAAATGCTAGATTTTCTATGTTTGATATGTTTTATACAATAACCATCATTCCAGGAATGTGATTAGAGTCACCAAGATGCCTCCACTAATGCCGTTCTAAAATTTACATTTGCCCACTTACTTTTATGACAAACAGTGGTGGAAGAAGTACTCAGGTTGTTTACTTAAGTAAGTATAGTAATACCACAGAGTAAAATACTCTGTTACAAGTAAAAGTTCTGCATAAAAATGTTACATAAGTAAAAAAAGAAATGTATTAGCATTAAAGTATTCTTAAAGTACCAAAAGTAAAAGTCCTCATTACAGAGAACAGCACATTACACATGGATGTATATTCTATTATTGGATTATAATTATTGATGCACTGTATACTGTACATCATATTTAATGTTGTAGCTGGTAAAGGTGGAGCTAATGTTAGCTACCTAATACTCCTAATTTGAAGTACTTAACATACTGCTGGGTAACCTGTGAATTTTCCATCAGGGATTCAATAAAGTCTTATGATTATAGTGTATGTTGTATTAATAATCTGACTGTGAAAAGCAACTAGTAACTAAAGTTATTAAATAATTATAGTGGCGTAAAAAGTACATTATTTGGCTCTAAAATGTAGTGAAGTTGAATTTTGAGGCAACAGAAAATGAAAATACTTTCCACCTCTGATGACAAGCGCTATTACTGAGGCTTTACAGGAGGAGTGGAAATATTTCAGAGAAGAAGCCAGTTTTGGCATCCGCAACATCACTTTTATAGCATTCAGAGCAGAACAAACATTGGCAGTGGAAGTGAAATTGTTATGTAGTTTTATCCATGCCAACTTATGTAGTATTAACAAATGAGAAGAATAAAAGTTAGTAAAAAAAAAAAAAAAATCCATGTCAGACTTGATTACACCAAACCGTGCCATAAAGAGACAGTGTTCTTTCATCTTGCTCAAATCACAGAATTTGCATATTTCATATTTTTTTCACTTCAGTGATATAGTTGAAAAATCTCTGGGTCATTTGGACCACTCAGTGCTCACCTAGTATGTAGCACACCTCTATTAACACTACAAATAACAAATATGTGGAGGAGTCATGAAGTAAAAGTGATGGATGCCTGTTAGGTTGATAAATAACTATCTTTTCCAGCTCTTCTGTCCAAGTGCTGACCTCACCAAGGAGGTTTATGTGCTTTAAAAAATGTTCAGTGTGACTCAGGAGCACAAAGCAAAAAGGAAATCTGGCACCTGAAGTGTTTAAAGTACTGAGAACTGGAGAAAGTGACACATATAGCGTGCAAATCTCACATCCTCTGAAAAATACAATAGTTTTGGGAATGATGAAAATAAAAAGCTTAGGTAGAAAAGATCTTACTACTTAACATTTATCTCAGCTACCCCCCTGAGGTGATCGTGCCAAAAACTGAGTAATACCAATAGAAAATATTTAGCTAGAATGGCTGGCCTTGTAAATATCCTTGCATAATCTCCCAAATGGCATCAAGGCTCTTTTTGCATGATAATTGCACCATCATGTACAATATAAATATCTAGAACAAGGCAGAATTTTCATGTTAAATGGGTGGCACAAGCATACATTTTTGTCAGGACTGTGGGAAGCAGAAAAACCTGATATTATAACCTGACATTCGCTGTTACTTTATGATTCCTCTCATGCTGACATTGTTTGCTACTACAGTAGCTTCCTCCACCGCAACATCCTCCTTTTGTGATATTTCATGTTGTTGATTTGATTTATATGAAAAGATAGCAGAACCTTTTCTGCCAAATCCAGCTATAAAGCAATTTGTTATAGTCAGTTTCTTAAGTTTCTCTGGCTGAAATGTAGTTTATGTTAGTGCTTTCGGCTATGCTAGTGGCCTGGCTTTGTCGTAACAGCGTCGGTTAGTCGGTTCACCACTGTGGTCCAGATAGAAATCCCTGACTGTACTTTCTGTCTAGTGCTAATTAGCAAATGTTAGGCTGCTAATATGCTAACCTAAGAAGGTGAATGTGGTAGGCTAAATAACATGTTAGCATTGTCTTCGTGAGCATGCTAACATAAGCACAGTCTCACAAGGCTGCTAGTATGGCTATAGAAAATTGTTCAGTGTTAGTGCCATAAAAGAAAAATGGGGGATTCAGACATTTGCTTCTAAACCACTCACAACAGCAATTTCACTGTCAAAATATTGTGCTGTTTTCTTTGCCAAACACGGGTCAGTTAAACTTCACTGACTTCATTTGTTTTGTCTCTCCCTGTGCGCTCTAGCTTATTTTCTTCTCTGCAAACTATAGACAAAATGTATCTTCCTACCACGCTTGTTAATTTGACCTTGACACAGTTTATTGTTTATAGCTGATGTATGGAGCCATTTCACAGTAGCCACCAATCAAAGCCTCAGGGCCTGCAGAAAGCTATGAAAAACTGAGCTATAACGCTTGTGCAGACATACTGTAAGTCATCACTATATGAACCAATGCCAATTTTCCAGTTCATGACAAAAGCATGAACAGTGTGCACTTTCTAAAATGACACCAAGATAATATTCATACCTCCAGACTGCCTGAAATAACACCAGAAAGTCCTGCCTAAAAATCCTCAACGGCCTGATCTTATTTCTGTCAAGACATAGAGTACATTTCCCCTCATACTAAGACAGATTGTTAGAATTCATTAATTTACAACAACATTAAGTCACTCAACAAGCAGAACAGAGCTCCATGCATTGATTTTCAGAGGCAGAAATCACAGGGGAGCAAGAAAACTGTGTAAAAGATTCAAGGTGGTCACCAGGAATCAATAAATTGCAACACTGCAGGAGCTGCAGTTTGCCAGTCATGCTGTTCATTAGTCAAGATCCACTTTCAACAAAGCAGGACTTTTGAGAAAGTGACTGTTAAAGCACCAGAATCAGCAAAGTACTGTATGAACTGAAGATGCTGTCAACAGAGTATGAAACATTCAAAAAGAAGAATGTACAAGTAGATAGATAGATAGATAGAGTTTGTGTTTCCAGGATACCATGTTTGCTCTCAAAGTATCCAATGATGATTTTTATATAAAAATGGGTCACATACTTTGGCTTAGACAACATATTGCATCATTGTGAGATAACCACTGTTTGAATTTTTCTCCTCTCAAAGATTTATACATGACCTATTTGTTAATACATGATTTATAAATTCAACACAACTGAATATTTCCTGGCTGACACAATGCTTGGGATCACAGGGTTTCTATTTTGTTAGCACAAAGAATACAAAATCTAATGCTGCTGAAACTGTAGACATGCCAAACCTTTTTTTTTTTTTTTTTTGCCAATATACTAATTGGAAGGATGAAGAAGAGGGACTCTTGTTGCCCACAGAATTGTTGGAGGATAGAAATCAGTGAAAACCCCATTAACTGTCTGCTGGTTGCCTATGTTTAGTGAAGGTCCAAAACTGCCAGCTTTATGCAATGTTGCTTGTCACATCGATGTAATCAGGCCTTAGTCGATTCATTGGGCTAGGACCTATTCTCAGATGTGTATTTGACCTATTGAACTTGAACACAAGCAAAATGTCCCCAGACTGCAGGACTTAAACACACGGTTGGAGTCAATCTTCAAATAATGAGATTAAACTTCAGATAATTGTGAAATACTGTATACAGCTTAAGTACTAATAATTGTAGTGTTTCCTTTTACTTTGACTCATACTTACCTACACTTAGCATAATGGGTTGGGGATTACACAAGCACAATCTCACTTCCCCTCTATTTTCTCACAATTGTATTTTCATGTCTGAGATGCAATCATTTGGTAATGACTTCCAGATTCCCATTGTCCTCTGTTTGCTGATGGGATGCACAGAGTTATGGGATAAAAGTAAGATGTGCTGAGAAAATTTATAAGAGCTCAAAATC